ATATATATATATATATATATATATATATATATATATATGTATGTATACAGAGATACGTGTATATACATCAATATTTATTGCACGCGCATGAAAAAGTCTCTTTCTCTCTCCTTCTCTGTAAGAGATGGAAGCTCCGTAGAGATAGAGAAATAATGCGCTTTTCTCTTCAAGATTGAATTAGAGGCATGTAGGTCTCATTTTGTGTTTTAACGTTACAGGATGGAGTCCTACATCCAAGCTAACAATGCAATCTTGAAGCAAAGTAGGAAGAAATTCAAGCGCATCGGAGAGATTCTTATTGATTATACAAGCGTGCGACCTTACATAGTACAGGATCGCGAATTTCATACTTTCCCTTTACCCGGTTAGATTTTCCTATTGCTCTCATAGTTAGATCGTTTCGTCCGCGGGCAGCCGACTGCAATTGCACGTTTCCGCGAACGGTCCTCATTCTAGGGGCTCCTTATAGTCCATATATGGAAACACGTTACAAATGTCGCTAGGCGCGTTCTGCGAGCCTATCGGGCAATTCCACACGTCAGCGACGAACTTATTGTTCGATGCGGAGACAAATATGCGGATCCGGTTCGGTAGGTCCTCGCTCTCGTATAGAGATACGTACGATGACGTCAGCGGCGACTTCGTGCAATACATCTGCAAACGGCAGAATGTAAAAGTTCGATAAGTTCGATGTACCATCCCCGATAATCAGGGATCGTCTTGACGACGAAACGAAAGTTTTAGAGAACCATAGATTCGATTGGATCCTTTCGGATCTTGGAATCGCCGGATTTGAATGTTAGATTGTTGTAAGAAGTTTGTCATATCCATTGAGTGAACAAATGATAAAATTATACGACTCAAGAGTAATTTTTAATCGAAATCTATAAATTTTCTCTTTCTGGAAAAATGTTCCCTATTCGTAAAAAAAACTGTAATTTCACATAAAATAAAACTTGATAAATTCTACGAACTTTCGTAGAAAAAAAATGATAAAAGACGAACTTTTTGTGCACACCAATCTAATAACTTTGAAACTTCGAGTATTAAATTCTTAAGTATTAAAATCGCTGCAAATTGTAGAAAGCGCAAATATGTAAATTCGACGATCCAAAGATTTTATCGCGAAAAATCGGAGGATCAAAGGGAGCTTAAGAATTTCACGATAAAAGTCTAACGATCCAGAGATCCGTAAGGATCTGAATCGTAAAGTGGAAATATCTAGAAATACAATGTCTCAAACGTTCATGGACACTGTCATCCAAGTCCGAGAACCTCTGGAAATCTCTGAGGTTAGAAAGGGACCTTTCTAAATAAAACTGCTGCTAATAAAACGAACTGTGAGAACAGTACCTGAACGTAGGCGAGATAGAATAATTGCTCGATGTTGAGTTTTATCCACGGAAGCTGCTTTTCCGCTTTCGATCTCGTGAAATAGGCCAAAGTGTCATAGGCTAGTCTGAGTCCCACAATATCAGACAACCGCTCGTTCAAGGTCAAATACGGGATCTAGAACATATTTCAAATATCGATATCTTGCGTCTACGAACGACTTAATAAATTAAATTAAACAGAAAACATATTTCAATTGTTATTCAATGATATTTCATTTAAACCTTATTACGAAAGTTTGTTAGTACTTTTGCTCCGATTATTATATTTAATATGTATATTACATATGTTTGCAATGTAACGAATGATTGATCATAAACATTGCATGATAAGTTACATGAAATTAATAATTATATCAATGTGTTAACACATACTGTAAGAGATACGGTTTGCTTGGTGAGAGGTAACGTGAAATTCATAGGTGCTTTGTATATGTTATCCTTATGACAGTTGATATAATCGGCTATGTCATTCACGATATACGTTATGTTTCTGCTTGTCTGCCAAACATGCAAACCTGTAGCAAAAGGAACGTAATAATTTAAATAATCGAAAAATCTGAAATATATTGCGTGACTGGTTTGTACTAATGTACGCGATACTTTACAAAACTATAATATAAAATAATTTCTCTCTTAAGAATTTATAAAATTTAGAAATTATAAATTTACGACATGAAATCAAATACATAATTATTAATTTTTTCAAAAAAGGAAGATAATAAGATTTAAAAATCACAAAAAGAAACGTTCATTGTCATTAGTGATAAAGTAAAAAAAACAAAGTTTATCTTTAGTATAAAATTGTTCAGTTAGTTCTGCTATATAATCAGAACAGTTTTTTACATGATTGTGTTACCATTATCATCGAAATAATGAGCGATCTGATGAGCTATTAAATTTCCGAGTGTCGCCAGCAATATGAGTTTCGAAGTATATTCTTCGTTTATCGAGGACCAATCCATGATACCGTAAGGGATCATGACGACGTCCAGGTTATAAATTATTCTAGCTTTGGATTGAAACGGCGTTGCATAATGCGTCCAACTGCAATAGAATTTAGTTAAAAAATCTTAAGACAAAAAAAGTTATCTAATGTCCTAATTATGTGTTTGAAAGTTCAAACGTTAGATCAATTGATATATCTTAAATTGATTCGTATCTTACATTTGTTTCTCTTGATTAGTTTGTCTTAATGCAGCGTACATCAAGTTTCTGTATCTCTTCAGCAGAATCATTGAGTTATTGAAGTAATCATTATCCAGTATAATCTGAAAATTCATGATTTATGTACAGGATATAACCATAAGACAGTTTGACTTACAATATAACAAATTTTTAATAGAATCTAAACTTTCAACAGTTGAATGAATGCTTTCATTATCATTGGAATATTCTCTTTTTTAGATCTATTTTTATTTTTATTGTAGATCTAAAAATATATTTCAATCAGAAAAAATAATCAATCGCTCACTGAACGCTTTTATATCAACTTATTTTTAAGATTTTATTTATGCGCGTAAGCAGATACGAAAAAGATGCCAAATATTGGATATCTATGTGTGGGTATCAAATAAATAATAAGGATAGTTACCTGCGACATATTATAATTGCTATAGAGTGAATCTTTATCTTTGTAGTAAGAAAGGTGAGGCAGGCTGAGCTTGAGATTGCTAATTTTTTTTAATAAAATACTTCGTCCATTCTTGTCGGTCCATTCTATTTGTTTCACTTTATTCATTAATGTTTGTTTCAGGTCGTTGAACAAATTCTGTATCTATCGAACAAAGAAAGCAATAAGAGAATTGTCAAGAGAACGAAAGAAAAATAATTTTCATATGTTTTCGAGAATATAAAAATATACTATACTATAGAAAGAAATATTTCTATGCTTAATATATACTCCATTTCTCAAGTTCACTCACTAATTCCCTCATCTTGCTTATTTCTTGATCGGGAAAGGACGATATGTATAAACTGGACGCTTCTAATTGTAGAAGATTGGTAGCCACTTGCAAACAATGATCTTTTACGTCGTTACGTCTAGATAGGACCAACTGCAATATTTATTACACATATAATAATAATTTATTAGTAGAATTCTCAAATTATACTGAAATAATTAATCGAAATTGATAGTGGTGAAATCATTGATATTTTGATCTTTATTATATTATTTTATGATTGGTTTTTATTGCAAAAATTTGATGATTAGATATAATATTGTTGTTGATTACCTCGTGATAAAGCTTATGCGCGTATAATGCCATGATCGCATTATTCAGGCTCATAGGGTCCTTTTCAGCGAATTTCTCTAATCCTGACAAACCATTTATCAGTTCTTCGTAAAAATAAATGTGCAAGTCATTTTTAAGTATTGAATTTGCTTCCATCATGTCTGTTCCTATTAGCGAAGAAATCAATTGCGTCCAGTTTATCTGTGAGAAAAAATGAAGGAAATACGATACAAAATTGCTAAAGAAATCTTTTCTATTTGCTAGAAAGTGACTGAAATCTGTATTTCACTTACGAACATGCTCTTGCTCTGCAACTCCTTCAAACTAATTTTGGTGTAATTATTCATCACATAGATTTCCTGTATTTCATTTTTAAGTGGAAAGTGCTATAAGATTAGTAGAAAATTTTATTTTATCATTAAATAAATATTATTATCAAGAAATATACAATATTATAGATATAGTTACCGAAAAGTATCCCTGCATTATAATAGAATTGATATCCTGAACGGTTTTTTTTATGATTGGGTAAGATTCAAATTTCAAGTGCCATACTGAGTCCAAATAGCTGTCATCCAAAACGCCGAGCACTTCTAATGCTTCCCTGATGGATCTTAAAAATTCTTCCGTATTTTTCTGTGAAGAAACAATGATTATTCATTTTATTACTCATTTTATTGTATTCTTTCACGTAAGTAAAAGTTCTTCTCTCTTGTAAGGAATTAATTATGTTCAATTTATCTCTAATAATTCGAGAGACACTTACATTGCACTTTTTATAATTGGCATACATAGCTTCGAGGTCCACGTATTGTTGCTCTATCTCGAATTCGTCTTCGAAGCACAAATCATCCGCGTGTTCCGTCATGAAAGGACTCTTATACTTCGGCAGACTTATTTGTAGAGTCGGAGGATACTCGTCGAATTTTGGCACAATGTCGAATAAAATAGCGCTGCAAGAATAATCGCAAATAATGATATTTATCGATTATTAGAGTATTTTTTGGAGCACTCACTTGTGATGTAACATTAATTGAGTGAACAAGTTGGTGAAGTCTATATAATTATTATGCCAAGTGTTGTTTGTGTATAATTTCCCTACATCTTTTAATGCACCAATTGCTGCAAGTAATTTAATTAATAAATATGATATAATAATATAATAAATAAATAATATAATATAATAATATAATATAATATAATAAATTAATAATATAAAAGAGCTTCATATGTAATTTAGTTAATTAATAAATAATTAATAAATTAATAAATAATTAACGATAATAATAATGTGATATATCGCGACACACATAGATTGTATTATAATTTTACTTTCATGCATTTTCACATATACATTATCCTAAATTCTCACTTAGAATTATTTAATTGCTTAATAAACAATAAATAATTTATTGTATAATTAGATGTTTAATAGTTTCAATTTACCCATCTCCACCCTTTCATTGAAGTTCACGGTTCTTTCGTAATATACACAACTGTCGTAATAGGTCGTAAAAGCCGAGTGCACTTTCTCACGTTTCTCCTTTGACATTTGTTCTGGAATCATGTTTAAGAAATGATCATATAAGAGTAAATAAAGTGTGACATATTTATTCGTTAATGTGTCGGCTTTCTTTTGTAGTATTTTATCTCGCTCTTGCAATTAATTAATACCAATCAACACTTACTGGCGATACGCTGGTAATTCTTGGTCTGTCGCACCAGATCGCCGTCTATCAGCTGCGGATTCGCTTCGAAGCCACCGCAAGCGTACTCATAGAAGTCGTCGCAAGGATCGACCGTGTAATTCATATATGACAGCATTTTACTGGCGGTGCGTTTGCAGAGGTCTGATTTGCAAACGTCTTTTTCTTCGTCGGGAAGTGGTGTCATTGCGATCGTGTTGTTGTCGCTTAAGGACGAAGTAATCATGATTTTTGACGGATTAATCGACGTATAAGAAGCAGATTCATATGTGTAATAATTGTACGTAGAAGATTGCTTCGTTATAGGTATCACGTTCTCGTTTCTTTCGGCAGTTTTGTTTTGACTCCTTGCACTCGCGGTGACGCTCATTATGGCTTCAGAATCCTAAAATTAAATACTAAAATATTATAATAATAATAATTAATTAATAAAAATAAATATTATAATAATAATTATAATAATAATGTATATTATAGTATACATTTGCGCGTACATTCAAACACTTTTCATATCTATTACTAAATAAAGGATTGATATTAAGTGATAAAATCACTGTTTAGAAATATAAGTTTTACAGTGAATGAGGACATTGCTATACTATATAATTCATTGAAATATTAGCATTCTTCTTATAAATTGAGCCAGTCAAATATTAGAGATCAATCAATAAAGTTTGATACATTCTCGTTAATCAATTATTACTTGGATATTTATCAGCATTAAAATATTACGTTTATAATTTCCCTAGTTGTTGAGAAGTCTTTACTCTGAAACGGAGTGTACTTTTTTGCGATAAGAGAGGTTCCTCTCGTTATGTCATCATTATTTAATATCTCATCGTATTGTACGGTTGTGGATTCCTCTTCCTCTTCCTCTTCCTGTTTCTCAGTAGAATATTCCATGTGTTCATTTTTCTTGAAATGAAGTGGAATTGTAGTTGGTTTTGTAGTTTCATCATAAATTGAAGCCATAGGTTGCGATTTCTGTGAATGATCAGAGGAGGAATATCCAGTGTTTGTATTTTCTTTTGGATCGGTTGAAGGATTCATCGTCGAAGTGGTAACATCGGCTTTTGATATCTCGCGAGTGCCAGTAGAATTTCTTTCAAAATTATCTAATCGAGTTGATAATGTTGAGGATGTAATATTATATGCGACGTTGGTTTCCGATGTTACATATTCACTGGTAAAAACTGTAGTTTCATCTTCCAGAAGATCGGGAGAAGTTGCAATATTATCAGTAGACAAATCAGTAGATAAATCAGTAGATAAATTGTTATCAGTAACAAATTCTGATTCCTTCGTACTGAAATGTTCATCGGAGGAAGACGTATCAATTGTAACTGGTATCGCAGATAATGTTGAAGTTGTAACATCGCGTGTTACATCTTCAATGTTCAATATTATATTACTGCCGGTAGAATTTGTACTTGTATTTTTCGTAAGATCGGCGGATTGAGTCGAGGATGTCGAAGCAACATTATCAGTTGATGTAACAAATTCTGATTCCTTCGTACTGAAATATTCATCGGAGGAAGACTCACGAGTTGCACTCGGCAATGTAGAAGTCGCCTCGATATCAGTTATCTGTGGCGACATGACGGAAGTGTCCTCGTCCGTAGTCGTGGCTTTATCCTGAGTTCTCCCATCAATGTAACCTTGATTAGTACCAGGTCCTTTGTCCTTCCTTGAGGAGACATTCGAGCTGACGATATCGACATCATTCACTTCCTTCATTATCGTACTTTTTGCAGTTGTAGTTGTTGATTCGTTTGTACGTTCCCCATGGTGATACTGTTTGAAATGATTTATTTTAAAATTATTTATATCTACACATTTTCCATAGCATTATGGTTTCTATATGTCTTCCTAAGAAGATTTTTACTCCACATTACCTCGTGTTTATAATTATCATTATAATACTCTCCCCGACTTCGAGTTTTCCAGGGTGGGAGTATGCAGGCTAGGATGAGGATAAGGCACAAGAAAAAGAAGATGAGCAGGACGACCAAGCAGTTTCTATACGACTGGTCTTGTTGAGCAGCCTTGTTCAGCTCCCGTTTGTTCACCTCATACGTCTGACTGCAAGGCATGTCTTCCTCGATTGATCGCCACAAGGATATATATCAATTTGTAAAATCTCTTCGCAGAACATGAACAACTCGTCGACTCAAGGCAAGTTACAAGCTTCCGTGACCGTAACGAATTCACGACGAAACACGACTGCCACATACTTGTAGCTTTAATCTTCCTAAAAAACTGATTGCAGTTTCACCGACCACTTCCTTCCGAAATATTATCAGCATAGCAGCTTACCGCGCACGATTTACCGCCTCAAAGTTGGCTAGCGATTCTATTTTATTCTTTACAATGCGAAACGTTTGATTCGTGGAATTCGTGAAGCAACTAATTGCGATTACATCAAAGCGTCGCTAATATTATTTAATTTGATAATTTCATGAGAAGTAATCAATTCGGCTACAAGAGAACGCAATCTGACTTAAAAATTAATGAAAATGCAGTAATTAACAGATACTTAAAAAAACACTTGATTAAGATGTGCACTGACGGATTTGAAACGTGTCGGGATCCGCATCTGTAAAGGAGGGAGTCTTCGGTGAAGACGGTTGCAATAAGCTTTCGGTTATTTTATATAAAAATGATATTCTTTCTTAAGACTTATTTACACGTTTCGAATTTGCGATTTCTGATAGATTTATTATCTAACAACAAATAAATTAAAGAGATATCGCGCTATATCAAACGTTTCGTTACAATTCGGTATGTCGCGTGTGATGCATTACAGTCTATTGTTAGAAAAATTCGACGAACGGTAACGTCTCGAAGGATATTTTCGGTGTATTGATTGTAACCGACATAGAGAGTTGTAGTTGCATCATCGTGCCGTTTACCGTGGTAGACGAAATCACACGTCGACGAGATCGCACATCTTCGATGTGTGCGTGTGTGTATGTTTGTGTACGTGTTGTATATAAGTTACTTATATCGATAAATCGTTTATAATACAATTATCACAGATATGTAAACTACAAAATATCGTACACGAATATAAAATGCAACTTGCGAATTGCTTCGCTCATGATCTCATTGCACGTGCTACGAGACGACTGGTGTTTACGTCTTATAGTTGATATATAATTTAAATATGAATAAAAAAAATATATATATACGCATGTATGTATATGTATTGCAAAACTTTACTCGCTCGGGTGTGACGAGTACATCTCCATTTCACACTTGAAATCATCCTCGAAGTCGACCACTGGCGAGTCGGATTCCTCAACTCTGGAATCACCGGTCGTCGATTCAGTTTGCTTCGACGCCAAAACCGTATTTCCAGGCTTTTTCGCACAGAGCTCTTCGTTGAAGTCGTCGGACCTGAATGTTTCAGAGATAGTCTACAAAGATAAGAGAAACTTTTATAAGAAATCGAAAAACACCAAAATAAATATAATATGAATGAGAGAGATATGAATGATAATTACTTTTCTTTGTATTTCGTCAGCCTTAAGTTTCTCCACCTTCTCTTTGTCGACAAGCGCGACTGCAGTCTTTGATAGGGCTTGTCCAGAGTTGGGTAATATCTAGTTAATCAGTTAAAAGTTAAGTTAAAAACTTAACTTTTAACTAAACTTAACTTTTAGTTAATTTTAAATGAGGTAATTCTTAATTTAAACTAGTTATTTAAAAATGCATCAACTTTAGTTTAGAAAACCCTAAAAAACTATCCGAAATAGTGCTCTCTACGCTAATG